AAATAAATAAATGAAATAAAAATGAAGGCTGCAGTTTCTAGAAAATTATGTGGTGAAAAACTACAATTCAGAGGCTGTGCAGAGAAGCTCAAACAGTGATTAGAAGAAACTTAATTGTTTTTTTAATATTTTTACTGATAAAGAAAAAATAAAAGTTACTGATTAGTTCAAAAAAGTAACTTTAATTTAGCTAACTGAAGAAGAAAAATCTTATAAAATGAAAGAGAAATTATAGAAAACAAAGTTGGAAGAACTAAAATAATTAAACAAAAATTAGGTTTTCTGTCGTGGGGGGGAGAATCGGGGGTTGGTATGTGGAGAGATGTCTCAGTGACTAAGGACACTGGCTGCTCTTATAGAGGTTCTGGATTTGATTCCCAGCATCCACAGAGTTTCATAACCATCTGTAACTCAAGTCCCAGGGGATCTGACTTGCTCTTCTGACCTACAGGGGCATCAAACATGCAAGTAGAACATACACATACATGCAGGCAAAAAACCACCTATACATTTAAAATAATAAAATAAATAAATAAATCTAAATTTTAAAAAATTAGTTGACTAAACTGCTAGCCACTAATCATGAAAAAAGGACAAACACAAATATACAAAAATAAAAAGTAGGGGAAATGACAGAAATAAAACGTTTGAGGTGGTAAGAACTGTTTTGTAAAATTTTATACATTAAATAAAATATTGGTAAAATAATTATTTTATAGTAAGTAAATGTGACTTATGAATGTAATCAGAGACAGCCTCGATACTAATATTTTTAATTAATTAGTTAATTAAAAATTATTTGCTTTCATTTTTATGTGTACTGTATTTTGTCTGTGTGAGGGTGCCAGATCTCATGGAACTGAAGTTACGAACGAGTTGAGAGCTGCCACGAGGGTGCCAAAAATTGAACCTGGATCCTCTGGAAGAAGAGGCAATGTTCTTAACCACTGAGCTATCTCTACAGCCCTTAACATATATTCTTGATCAAAGTACTTATGAAAATTGGGCAATGCTCCTTAACAACAACACATAACAAATGTCCCTAACATAATAATAGTAAAAACATGCATATGTTCATAATACTTAATAGAGAAACCTTGGAAACCTTTCCCCTAAAATGAGGAATAAAGAGGATAATCATTGATGTTTGTTACTATCCTACCTAAACTAGGCAACATAATCTGACAAGAATAAAAGAAGAAGCAAAACTGTTACTATGTACAGACCATATAACTGTACCATAGAAACATCAAGAAAATCACTTGAAAAAATACTATAAAAGTATGGAATTCAATAAGGCAGAAAGTTATATATAGAAATTAAAAGCCTTCATGTTTATAAATAAGAACCAGTTATATTAAATACTTAAAAAGTACCATTAAATGTTAAACCCATTTATTTTTTTTATTAAATATTTTTATTTATTTATTATGTATACAATATTCTGTCGTAGAATGCCTACAGGCCAGAAGAGGACACCAGACCTCATTACAGATGGTTGTGAGACACTATGTGGTTGCTGGGAATTGAACTCAGGACCTTTGGAAGAGCAGGCAATGCTCTTAACCACTGAGCCATCTCTCCAGCCCTTAAACCCATTTAATAGCAACAAAATGCAGAGAATACCCAGGAATACCAAGATTACATAGACTGTATGTGAGGAAAGCCTTAGTTTCCTGAAGCAACAAGACAGAAGTAGATAGTATGGTTTTGGATTCAAGGCAAGACTCCACACCTTACAGAAGCCAATTTGTTTTAATTTAACTGATGAAATAATAAGATCTTAGCTAAAATACTCTGTCTTCTTACACACTGGGTGAGGACACAGAATTTCGAAAGGCTATAGCACAAAACAAGTAAGAATGGTTTTGAAAACATGACAGTAGCCTTATCACACATTACAAGTCAAGAATGTGTGTGTGTGTGTGTGTGTGTGCTAACAAGCAAACTTCATGTATCAAAACAGAAATCACTGTGGTTTTTTTTGTTTTTTGTTTTTTTGTTTTTTTGTTTTTTTTTTTTTTTTTTTTTTGGTTTTTCGAGACAGGGTTTCTCTGTGGTTTTGGAGCCTGTCCTGGAACTAGCTCTTGTAGATCAGGCTAGTCTCGAACTCCCAGAGATCCGCCTGCCTCTGCCTCCCGAGTGCTGGGATTAAAGGCGTGCGCCACCACCGCCCGGCTTCAAAACAGAAATCAATGAAAACAAAATAACTGCCCACCCTTCCAAAGACTGAAAGACAAATAACAATTATAAACCTTGGTCACAAAAGCTTCTTTGGGCAGAGGGCAGCAGCGAATGCACTCTTCACTAATGGAAGTGCTGACCTAAGTGACTGAGAGCTCAGCCCCAAAAGGGACATCTGTGTCAACTCCCCTGAACCCAAAGCTCAAGAACTATCACAGAAGAGGGGAGGGAGAGGAGAGAATCCTACGAGCTGCAGGGCAGGATGGGAAAGCACGCTGCGAAATGCTGCCTTTTGGATGTGACATGGCCATGGCACTCACAGTAACAGTGTTACCTTCAGTCAAAACTTCAATACGGGTGGGAGAGGCTCAGGAAACTTAGGAAGCCCCGCCCTAGCGGAGGAGTTAATAGCAGCTGAAAGCTGCTGGAAGCAGAACAGTGATTTCTCACTGGGTCATGTGTGGCTCCAGAGAATGGCCCAAGTCCTTGCAAACAGTGGCAGCACTAACTGAAAATAGTAGGCTAGTTTAAAAAAAAAGGCATGAAGATGGGATGGGAATGGAGTGTTAAGGAAATTAGAGGTGGGGAAAAAAGGAGTGGATACAGTCAAAATACATTTTTTAAAATAACTTATTGTTTTTATTTATTATATATACAGTGTTCCATCTGCATGTTTGCCTGCATGCCAAAAGAGGGCATCAGATCTCACTAGAGATGGTTGTGAGCCACCATGTGGTTGCTGGGAATTGAACTCACAACCTCTGGAAGAGCAGTTAATACTCATAATCTCTAAGCCATCTCACCAGCCCCAAAATACATTTTATATATGTATAAAATTCTCAAACATAGAATAAATTTTAAAAAAGAAAGGAAAAAATGCATAAGCCAAAAGTTTGGTAAGGTGTATGACTAGCAAAACCAAGGCCCTGGGCTCTGTCCTTAGTAGCTAAAAAGAACAATAAATGTAAAAGTAAGAAAGAATGAATCACAAGTGGTCCTCGTATTAGTTAAGAACTGTTTGCTTAGTTTTAAGTCAGGCACAGTTAGGAGTTCACACCTATAATCCTACAGCTAGGAGGCTGAGACTGGAGTACAAAGGCAGATTGGACCACACAGTGAGCTTTAGGCCAGGCTGAGTCACACATAAGCACTTCTTTCCAAAAATGCAAAACAAAGCAAAAAACCACTTAAAACAGCAAATTTGACTGGGAAAAATCTAGGAGTTCGACGGCACATGTATAAGGAGACAAGTATTCTGACTAGTAGATGAAAAACACTTAAAACCTTTATGGAGGGGAATCTAGAAATATTGATCAAAATTATAAATAACATTTACCCTTGACTTACTAGTCTCATCTCCAGAAATTTATCTTACACATACACTAAATATATGTAAAGTAATATTTGGATATAGCAAGAAATTAAAAATTAATTAAAATACCCATAATACACATATAAAGGGAACTGGCTAAATATTATCTCTAATTAGTTCTATAATGGCAAAAACTAGGAAAAGATGAGGAAACTGTGTTATCTGTAAAGATCCACATGGAGGGAGAGCTAACTCTAGCTACTAAGCAAGAAATATGATGAACCTGGACTATATGGCTGTGCCATATGAGAAACATCAAATGAGAATGAGAAAAGTCACCAGCTGGTAATTCCTAGTGCAATAAATGACTTGGGAGCAATGAGCAATGAATACATCAGTAACTACCAAGTTTGACTGGGGTTTATAAAGGCTACGCCTCTAAATTCACTGTTTGTTCCAAGTAGGACATAATATAAAACACAATACATACACGTGTGTGTATATACATATACACACATGTATATACATATATACACACATACACACACACACATATATATCTCACTTTCTACACAAAGTGAATTAAACTTCTAGGGATACCTTATTATCAGAAAATATAGGAGAGAGAGAAACAAGTCCTAAGAAAACAAAAAACAAACACAGATTTGGGGATATTCTATAATAATACAGTTTCAATAAGAAGTTTCAGTAAGAAGATAATGAAATTTTAAAAAGAAGAAAAGAAGAGGATGGGAAGGAATGTGATGTGTAAATCTTGTTTACATTCCGATTGGAATCAATTAAGCAGAAAAAGACATATTTGGGACCATCAAGGAAATATAATCTTGGACTAGGAATTGGAGAATATTAATTTTATTTTTTTGAATTTTCTTACATAAAAAATGATATTGTTAATGAATAAGAAAACATCACGATTTTTAGTGGTGTATGTAGCAGGGACAAAGTAACATGCCGTTCTGGAATGGGACCTAAAATATTTGCAGAGAGGAGGAAATATTGACAGATTAACAAAGGTAAAAGAAAAAACCCTGACAAAATGAATAATGGCTACATACATATGACGTTCAACATGCTGTTCTTTTACTTATGTATCAGCTTGAGGGCATTTGAAGGAAAGCACTTAAAAATGAAACTAGTCAGTCATGCTTTAAGAAAGCAGGAACACTTGGCTACGGCCACTATGACCAACACGTTTCTCTTAACATATGAATTATTGGTAAGATAAAATTCTCAAATGATCACACCAGGGTTTTTACACGTTTTCATGTGCCTGTTTCAAGTTTAGCATCATTCTCAGACAGGTTCTGCATGAAGGATTTACAAATGAAAAATAATAAAAATATTAAGGTTTTATTAGGTTGTCATAAAACATGTCCAAGTATTACTTTAAGACATCAGTAACACAACTGTATAAATAAAACCACACATGCATGCCATATAGAAATTGACTACCCAATTCATAATATGGTTTTAGTTCCCTTACCATCAATATTTAGCATCATTTTCCACATGGCAGGCCGAACAGATTGATGGAATCCAAACCATACTTCCCTGCCCCCTCCCAGAGGGTGGTCATATCCTTCTGGAGCTGAGAAAAAGGAACGCCCCACAGGTGTATATCTACAAAAATTAAAATGGCATGTTCAATCCTTTCCTTCTAATACTAATACTTAAATCAGCAGGACAGAGGACACGAAAGCAAAGACAATTAACTTATGATACTTACAATTACAAATACACACGAAAGCAAAGTCTATTCTAAATGAAGCAATTCATCAGCATCCTTCTCTGAAATTGTCTATTTTCAGAATCTGTTAGTTTACACAGCAATATATTTTATTATTATCATTTTTAAGACAGCATCTCACTGTATAGCTCTGGGAAGCCCACAGCTCACTACATTAAACCAGGATGACCTTGAACTCACAGAGAGCTGCCTGCCTCTACCTCCGAAATCTTGGATTAAAGGTGTGTGCTACCTCACTTGTTCCTTAAAATACTTTCTTAAAAACAAGAGCATTGCAACTTTAAAATGTTAAAGAGTAAGCGATTTCTACAAATGTTTCCAGATAGCTATACTAATTGTTTCAAAGCTACTTGACATATGCAGGTCCAGGAATTTGTAAAGGTAGTGTGGTTTTAAACTGCAGTATCCCTCTCTCCCTTTTTTCCATGCAGGAGCCTGAATGCAGGACCTTAAGTATGCTGGGTAAAGACTCCAGCCTGAATTCTATCTCCTGCCCAAGAACAGCAATTTCAACACAATCTGATACTATGTATAAAATATGCAATCTTTTTTAAAACAAGGTGATTTGAGTTCATAGTATGTCTGAAATATCAGTTATTCAAGACTTATAGGTCCTAATATAAATGGTTAGAAATAACTCTGTAGAATAATTCACTAGATTAGCTAAGCTAATGATGTATATTTTACTTGCTATTGTACAAATGAAATAATGAAAAGCATGGAACATACAAAGGTTAACTGAGAAAGGCTTCTACTACTCACTCTAAGGAGGAAAGAAGCCAGAACCACCTACTTCATGGAGGGCAGATGTCGTAGCACCACGTCAACGGCATGGACCGGGTTAGTGCTGATTGGCTTGTCTAATTCCAGTGGCTCAGGCAAAGTCCGTCCCGTCAGCACTTCATGTAGCAGGTGCCAACTCACCCGGGATACAAATTTGACTGACACCTTGAAAGGTCGATCTTTGCCACCTTCCCCAGGTAATGTAACATCTAAATCTACCTGTTGATGGGACAAGACCCAAGTGTAAATGTTGAAAAAGATAGATTTAATTATTTAAAATTTAACTTATAAAAAGATAACAAGCAAAAATAAAAAAATCTTAATGTCAAATTAATAGATTAAAATTCAAATACATAGTTTATTCATGGCAGTATTATTCATCATTCTAAAACACTGGAACCTACTTAAATACACTAACATTTAGGCAGCTATAAAAAAAAAAAGGAAGAGCTAGGTGCTAGTGATGCACGCCTTTAATCTCAGCACTCAGGAGGCAGAGGCAAGCGGATCTCTATGAGTTCGAGGTCTACAAGAGCTAGTTACAGGACCAGCTCCAAGGCTACAGAGAAACCCTGTCTTGAAAAACAAAAACAAAAAACAAAAGCAACAAAAAAAGTGAGATTAAGATGATATCGGTATGATACAAGTAAAAAACAAAATACAAACAAACAAAAACACTTCCCCTTCGACACTAACTACAAAGAGAAAAAGAATATCTTAGTAGGAAAAGGCAGAAATCAACTTAACCAAGTATTGAAGTTACCATCACCATTAATGGAACAAATATATATTATGTATCTCTGGGTAAACGGCACTGATAAAAGAAGAACACTTCTGCAATGTTCTGGCTAAATTATACATAAACAAAATGTAACCGGGGGGAAGGAGATGACAAACACAATTCAGGAGCAGTCTAAAAATAACTTGCCTATGGTCTTCAATCATGTTAACATCATAAAAGAAAAGAAAAAGGCAAGATAATTGTTCTACAATAAAAACCAAAGTCATGTGATGTTTATTAGCATGATCCTGGACTGAATTCTTTATTAGAGGAAGGGAAGACACTAGAGAACATAATGAAAACAATGGGAAAAACTAGAATATAGATTGTTGATAAGATAAAAGTATTATGCCAATAATAAATTTAATTAAGTTGGCAAATATACTATAGTTTTTAATCTTTATTTTTAGGAAATAATACATATTAAAATGTTATTAATGGGGCATAATGTACATAACCCAACTATGAACAGGCTAGGAAAAAGTATGTATGTATTTTTGTTTCATGGAAGAGCAAAAGAGAGTAAGAAAAAATTCTAAAATCAGAGCAGCAAATTGTTAAGGACATTGGCGAATCTGAGTAAAGTGTATGTGACTTTTCTACATTGTTCTTTAGTTTTTTCTGTAAACCTGAAATTATTTCAACAGAAGTTGAAAAATGATCACATTAGTATGGGTTATAATTTAAAATGGTAGTAGATCATTTAAAGGGAGATATAGGGGTTGGGGAGTGATGTGGGATGTCCTTGTGTATGCTGTGATATTGGCTGATGAATAAAACTGCTTTGGCCTATGGCAGTGCAGAATATAGCGAGGTGGGAAATCCAAGCAGAGATACAGGGAAAAAGAAGGCAGAGTTAAGAGGAGATGCCAACAATCACCAGAGGAGTAAGATACCAGAGCAATATGGGTAAGCCACAGGGCACGTGGCAATACACAGATTATCAGAAATGGGTTAATTTATATGTAGAGCTAGCCAGTAAGAAGCCTAAGCAATTGGCCAAACAATCATAGTTAATATATAGCCTCTGAGTGATCATTTGATAAGCTGCTGCAGGACCTGGTAGGGACAACAGAAGAGCTTCCAGCTACAAATGGTACCAATGTGGGGCAGGTACATCCACATAAAGTCTGAGAAGGCTTAAAACAAAAGGGATTCTAGACACAGAGTCATAACTGGCTTCTTGGTAGCCACATCTTTTCAGATAGACTTTGCTTGTTGATGGCAAGAAGATGCATGGCGCCTTTAAGAGATGGCTTCCTGGTTCATGCTAGCAGCACAGATGGCTCTCTCAGGAGAGCACTTGAATGAGGTTTGTGGGCAGCGTGCTACAACTTGGTGGCTGTGTGGACCCACTGCTTCCCACAGCTGGGGTGTTAAACATGACTCCCAGAGCTGGTGGTAAACATACCTCTGCCATGTTGGAAAGCTGAGTGGGGTGAAGCGGCCAAATCTGCTGCTTTGGTCCTAGCCATGCCCACTTAACAATTTAAAATTATCACCAAAAGAAAAAAAAAGATTACAGATATACAATAAAGACAGAATCAGACAAAAAGAAAGCTCTAAACAGTCACAGTGTGTTTTTAAAAAAAATGTATGTAGGCTTGGAAGAGAGAGAGAAAAAAAGAGTATAGGCAGTTACAGAAAAAAATACTTAAAAAAAATCTTCAAAGAGACAGTAAAATAATATAAAAAATAAGACACACAAAGATGGAAAATACACAGAGAGCCTGGATTATGTATTTTACTGTGTTTTAAAAATTTTTTGACTGTTAATGAGCTATATGCTAAGAAACAATTGATTATAGGGGCTACTAAGTTAAAGCAACATATATATATATTTAATCTTAAAAATTTTTTTTTTATTTTTCCATTCAAAAATTTACACTTCCTCCCCTCCTCCAATTTCCCTCCTGTTCTCCCCCTCCTCCTCCTCTCTCTCCCTCTCTCCTTAAGAGAGGGCAGGGAACCCTGCCCTGTGGGAAGTCCAAGGCCCTCCCCTCTCCATCTAGGTCTAGGAAGGTGTGCATCTAAATGAGTCTAAGGATATGTTGCTTTGAAAAAAGGTTCTGTTTTTGTTTCCACAGAAGATAAAAAGCTGTGAATTCCTTACAGGCTAATATGGTTTGATCAAGCAAGATCCCTGGAAAGGTCTCCAATGGCAATGATGACCCAGGTGACCCAACATCCACAACAGTTTCAAGACTACCAGCTGAGATGAACAAACCACACAAAATATCCCAGGCAGGGCTTGACCATAATCCTAAATTTTCTCAGGATCCCCATAAGATTGCCAGTGCCTCCCACCAGCAGGAAGTAGTATAGCCAAACAATCATAGTTAATTTATAGCCTCTGAGGAATTATTTTATAAGCAGCTGCAGGACTGGATGGGGACAACAAAATAGCTTCTGGATACAGGGAGATGGCTCAGTGGTTAAGAGCACTTGTTCTTGCAGAGGACCCAGAACTGGTCCCCAGCACCCACATGGCTGCACACAACTAGCTATAACTCTAATTATAGGGGATCTGACACCCTTTTCTGGCCTCCTCAGGCACTGCACAAATATGATGCACAGGCATACATGCAGGCAAAATGCTCATCACATAAGAATAAATAAATCTAAAAAAGACTGAAATAAAAGGAGATACAGCACAAATATAGCTTTACAATAAAGAAACATATCTTACCCCAGTAGTTGCCACAGGAAGTGGATTGGCTGTGTAAAGGCTCCTTTTCCCATCATAGACTGGTTTACGGTCTCCAAATATAGTCACTTTGAAATGCTGAACCATTGAGTCAACTACTTCCCTAAGGAAGGGAAAAACACATTCTCATAATCCTCTGCAAGATGAAATGCAAAAATATGAACTAGCTCAAGGCACTGTTTAATGACTTCAAAATAAGATTTTGGTTTCAGAACCATAGCTTAAGATAGCAGAAAGACAGCCCACTGGCAAAGGATGACACATATTCCCAAAGACAAGAATGAATCCAGTAAACCAATCATTCTGGGATACTGTTGACCAGAAAAATATTATTAGCATTTGATTAAAAATCCCTTTCATCTTCTCTAAGCATTCCCTGACTGCTTACCTTTTTTTCTCAAACAGTAAGATGTTCTTTGTACTGTGCTAAAATACATCTTGTTTGTATCTCTATTTAGAACAATCAGCCTATTGTATCCAATTATATTCTTCATTCCTATGGTGAGTTTCTGAAGAGTAACAAACACATCTATATTCCCTACACTACCCACTCAACAATGTCACCTAATCAGTGAGATGCTGTGAAGTGTCCAGCTGGGGATTGGAGCTCAGGGTTAGTGTGTCTGCCTCATATGCACAGGCTCCATGCTCACTCCCCAGCACCACAAGGAGAAAACTCTAGCCAGGCGGTTATGGTACAGGCCTTTATACCCAGCACTTAGGAGGCAGAGGCAGGTGAATCTCAGTAAGTTTGAGGCCAGCCTGGTCTACGGAGTGAGTTCCTGGACAGTCAGGACTGTTATACAGAGAAACACTGTCTCAAAAAACAAAGAAAAAGAAAAAAAACTCTATTTTAATTCCGCAAACATTTTGATACCAATATATAGTAACATGGAAAGGCATTAAAGACTTACATTATGAAATTATAGACTACAGAGAATTATACCAAATACCTACAAATCAATACAATTTTTTCCTTCCTTCCTTCCTTCCTTCCTCCCTCCCTCCCTCCCTCCTCCCTCCTTTCCTTCCTTCTTTCTTTCGAGACAGGGTTTCTCTGTAGCTTTGGAGCCTGTCCTGGAACTAGTTCTTATAGACCAGGCTGGACTCGAACTCACAAAGATCCACCTGCCTCTGCCTCAGGAGTGCTGGAATTAAAGACGTGCGCCACCACCACCCGGCTCTTTTCTTTCTTCCTTTCTTCCTTCCTTCCTTTCTTTCTTCCTTCCTTTCTTTTTTAGACAGTATAAAGCCTTGGCAGTCCCAGAAGTTGCTCTGTAGACCAGGCTACCTCCTGAGTTCTGGGATTAAAGGTGTGCACCACCGCAGCCTGGCTCTACTCACAAGTTCTTAAAGACAGTGAAAAGGCATTTAGAAGGATCCAAGCCACTTTATGTTTAGAGAGGAACTGTTTCTACAATCTCAATACACCACAACGAGATTACACTTGTACAGTGCTGGTATGATTTAAACTAAAACCAAAAGATTAAAATCTAGCCCAGATGAGTGGGGAGAAAGGGAGAAAAGGAAATCAGCATTTTCCAGGAAAAAAAGAAAACTAAGCTGACTTGATTCCCACAAAAACTTACATAGCACAAAAATCTCTATTTTCCACTCAGCTTTTCAAATTTTGTATTTTACTGAAACTCTTTTAACCCAATATCATGTCTTTCATACGTAATGTGACACCAAAGATTTGATTCACCTACTTTCTTTGGGTTCGTTCAGAGACTGCTAATTAAAATTTCCTTTTATGAGTCGGGCACTGGTGGCACACGCCTTCAATCCCAGCACTTGGGAGGCAGAGATAGGGGGATCTCTGAGTTTGAGGTCAGTCTGGTCTTCAGAGAGTTCCAGGACAGCCAGGGCTACATAGTAAAAGTTTCCTTTTGTGGCCATTATTTTAAAGTCCATTTTTATATGCCACTGCCAAATAAATCAAAAAAGTTTACCAACTCCTAGAAGCCCAAACCACTCTAAACAACAACATGGTGGGGGAGATTGAGATGGTAGGGAGACTGAGATGGTAGAGGAGATTGAGATGGTAGAGGAGATTGAGATGGTAGAGGAGATTGAGATGGTAGAGGAGATTGAGATGGTAGGGAGATTGAGATGGTAGGGAGATTGAGATGGTAGAGGAGATTGAGATGGTAGGGAGATTGAGATGGTAGGGAGATTGAGATGGTAGAGGAGACTGAGATGGTAGAGGAGACTGAGATGGTAGAGGAGACTGAGATGGTAGAGGAGATTGAGATGGTAGAGGAGATTGAGATGGTAGGGAGATTGAGATGGTAGAGGAGATTGAGATGGTAGAGGAGATTGAGATGGTAGGGAGATTGAGATGGTAGGGAGACTGAGATGGTAGAGGAGACTGAGATGGTAGGGAGATTGAGATGGTAGGGAGATTGAGATGGTAGAGGAGACTGAGATGGTAGAGGAGACTGAGATGGTAGGGAGATTGAGATGGTAGAGGAGATTGAGATGGTAGAGGAGACTGAGATGGTAGAGGAGACTGAGATGGTAGGGAGATTGAGATGGTAGAGGAGATTGAGATGGTAGGGGAGACTGAGATGGTAGGGAGATTGAGATGGTAGAGGAGACTGAGATGGTAGAGGAGATTGAGATGGTAGGGAGATTGAGATGGTAGAGGAGATTGAGATGGTAGGGAGATTGAGATGGTAGGGAGACTGAGATGGTAGAGGAGATTGAGATGGTAGAGGAGATTGAGATGGTAGGGAGATTGAGATGGTAGGGAGACTGAGATGGTAGGGCCAAAATCCTTGGGAGATAAAAGCATCCTGATTTAATATAGCACACAGCATTTCCTTAATAAATTTCTAGCAGTAGAAATTTACTTCAGTGACCTTTCAAAGCTGAGCGGAAAACATCTACGGCTGAATTCAAAAAATTTACTCCAGAGTTAAATCTGGTTATGGTGCCTATGCCCTCCTCAATATCCAAACTTTGAACCTGGCTGGTCTACTCCCTCATGACCTGCCAACCCCACCTCTGCAGCATTCCTAACTCCAGCCTTCACTTCCCATTCTTTACCACCTCAGACTAAGACTTAGTCCTACGACTTGGGTTACCTAAGTTTTTTGTTTTTAATGTCTTTAGTTTTTTTCTTCTCCAATCCTTGGCGCTATTTATGCAAGGCAGTATAACTAAACGGTTGTGGAGACCACCTGGGCAACAGAGACATCAACAATGTCTCCAGTCTCTATAGCCCAAGCTGGTCTCAAATTCATATCAACCACCTACTTCAGGCTCCCTCCTAACTGCTGGTATAACAGGTCTGAGCCAACACATTTAGCTTCTAAACATTCTAATATCAAGAATGAATTCTAGCAATTATTTGTCTTCTGTTATAACAATATAAATGGGGAAGGTGGGAATATGGTCTTTTTTTGTTCAAATGTAGAATTTTTAGCAGAACACTGTAGTATATTGTTAGACAATTTCTTAGCTGACGGAGGTGGGTCATCTGTCTATCTGTTGCTTTCATTGGTTAATTAATAAAGAAACTGTTTGGCCCTCTGATAGGGTAGAATTTAGATAGGCGGAGTAAACAGAACAGAATGCTGGGAGAAAGAAGCCAAGTCAGGAGTCGCCATGATTCTCCCACTCCAGACAGACGCAGGTTAAGATCTTCCCTGGTAAGCCACAGAGTATTAGAAATGGGTTAGATCAATATGTAAGAGCTAGCCAATAAGAGGCTGGAACTAATGGGCCAGGCAGTGTTTAAAAGAATACAGTTTCCGTGTAATTATTTCGGGTGTAAAGCTAGCCTGGTGGAGGGATGCAGCCCTGCCGTTCCCTACAACACTTAGCTTTATAAGAAGTGAAACTACACAAATAAAATACATAACATTTTAACTTAAAATTTTTAATTAAATTATTTCTTCTGTGTGTGTGTGTGTGTGTGTGTGTGTGTGTGTATGTATGTACGCAGGTAGGTGCACACACCATGGCATACATGTAGAGGCCAGAGGACAATTGGAGGAATCAGTTCTCACCTGCTGCCATATGGGCCTCAGGGATGAAACTCAGAACATCAGGTCATCAGAGGTGCTTTTACTCACTTAAGTCATTTTGTCAGCAATTTTTATTTTTAAATGGGGTCCTATGGTATAGCTCTGGCTATACTGGAACTCACTATGCAGACTAGGCAGTCTGTAACTCACAGAGATCGACTTCCTCTGCTTCTGTGCAAGGATTAAAAGTGTATGCCACTACACCAGGCCAATAAGCCCAACATTTTAACTTAAAAAAATTGTTTAATAAAAATAACTTTGGAAAGAAAATTTAAGTAAATGATGCTAAGTTTTACCAAAATTTAATGACTTCCTTTCACTAACAAAATTAACTCTGGGGAAAGGAGAATTCTTGCAGAAAATAATATTCTTTATTCTTCCTAGAACTTCAAACTACAGTTTAAAATTAAGAATTTTTCTGGCACTTACCCTAAAAATGGAACTTAACCTGATTATGTTGAGCCTTATAAAGGGCTACAGCCTCCTTCCCACTCCTACCTCAACTATCACTCCCTACATCTTAGTACAAAGTCTGATGATGCCATCATGCTGTAGAACACAGACTGTAAATTATAATTTTTTTTGTAAATTATAATTTAATAAATAAGTATTTAATTTCAACATTTAAATACTGGATAAACCTGAGTAAGGGGAGGCTGCTTGTTCGTTCCTTCCTGCCCAGACTCGAAATAACCACACAGAAGCTGTATTAATTAAATCACTGCTTGGCCTATTAGCTCTAGCTTCTTATTGTCTAGCTCTTACATCTTAATTTCACCCATTTCCATTATTTTGTGTATTGCCATGTGGCTGTGGCTTACCAGCAAGGTTTCAGTGCGTCTGTCTCCTCTGGTGGCAGCTTATATGAATTACATGGCATCTCCCTGACTCTGCCTACTCTCTCCATACATCTTTTCCAGCCTGGCTATATTCTGTTAAGCCATTGGCTGAAAGCAGCTTATTTATTAACTAATGGCAATAAAACATATTCATAGCATACAGAGGGGAATCCCACATCGCCTGAGGTCTTATTTTCTAAAATATATGGATTGATTTTAGTTATTGTGAC